GGCCATGAAGTTTGGAGGTCTGTGGTGATCAACTCTGCAGAAAGTTGACAACCTCTGCGGCACTATGCCCCTCAGCATCAGCTAAATCTGCTGTGGGATTTTATGTGGCCTAAGACTTTGTGGCTACGTTGCTGTTGTTACCAGTTGCTGTTACCAATAACAGTTGACTATGGAATATTTGGTAATGAGAAAATTTCATGACTGGATTTGTTGCAAATGTGGCATCCTATCACAGTACCACACCGGAATTCACTGATCTCTTGAGATTGACCCATTCTTTCACATATGTTTGTAGAAGCAGTCTGCACGCCTAGGTGCTGGATTTTACAAACCTGTGGCCATAAAAGTGATTGGAACGCCTTCATTCAATATCTGCACTCCTGGGTGAATACTTTTGGCAATGTATTATATATCTTAGGCTAATTTGTGATCCTAGTTTGGCCGGACATGTGGATGTGAGTATGAATGACTGATTGCTTCTCTGTTATGAATGTGACAGACCCAAAATAATTTAGAAAACGGATGGACAGACGAACTTGGCTGAAAACCCCAATGAAATTCAGCAGTCAGAAAAGATGCACAGAAACGAATTGCTCAGGGACGACATCACACATTTTACATGTTTATGTCAATATGACACAATTACAAAACCTTTCATGGAAAGGGCGGAAAAGTGCAAGATAAAAAAAATGCAGAGGTAGGAGCGTTTTTATGACAAAAACATGAACAAAAATCCATGCTTATATAATACATGGTACTACTAGACACAGATTTTCAGAACATGGTGCAAAATGAGTGAGCAGAGCATGTTCTTGGATTTATAAAGAAGCATATGTATGGCACTGTGGAAGTAGAGGGAGCGATGGAGCCGGTGGCCCGGATATTGCCTATGATCTACAGGCTGCAAGCACCACTCTTATTTTATCTAAGCAAATGTGCACACATATTCTGTAAGCAAGCATAGACTCAGGATTAAAGATAAAAACAGCACAAAGACTGTGTTCGGTTAGCATTTTTTAAAGTCATGGAAACGTTCTAACTTCTGGGTCCAATTATGTATGCTGTACAGTATACAATTTGACACAAAGTCCTTACTGTCTTACCAACTTCTTCAAAGGCACTTAGATGACCCATGCTCCATTCAGTCATGGAAATCAATTATCCTGTCATCTAATTTCATATCCTAGCTTTTCCAGCCTTTATTAAAAAAAAAAGTTTGTATCATTTTCTTAGGCATCAGTAGAACTCAACCAGATACTCTGGATAAATCTGATTACTGTCAAAAATGACATAGATCTTTGGATTGGCCATATCATCCACACAACTGTCATAGAAGTTGGTGAAACTGGCATCCTTAGAGGGTGGTCTGCAGTACATTGGATGACCAACTGTGTATTCTCCAACAAGCACTCTGGCCAGGAACATGGTCTTATAAGGCGGCTCACTCGCAAATATCGGTGGTGCGAGTCCATGTCTCTGTAAGGTGGTGTTGTGTTTCCCTGTGGTGTGACAGAATTTACTGGAATATTTGGCATCGCGGGCAAAGTAGCTCCCTGCAGGAAAGACAAGAGCGCAATGTTAAAACTGGACAAAAGGAGAGTAGCAAAGTCTTTCATGATACAACATAAAAGATCTACCTTTGCCATAGACATCGCCATGGCTTCCTGTGAGCCGCCAGTCAAAGTTAAATGTACATATAGCTTGTATATTGCTGTGTCCCGTGCCATGAAACAGCATTCGCTCCTCAATATCCAGTGTTCGCTTGACTTTTCGCAACTGTGTTTTCTTCCTTAGAGGAGCACCAAGGAATGACAACATAAAACAAATAATGACTTTGATACTGCATGACTGTACAAAGTTTGATCTGTGAAAAGTTCAGCAACTTTTCCCATGAAGAGCAAAAATCATACCCAATTTAAATTTTGCCCCATCTATGCAATTCAGAATTTTCACCTTGTGCACCTCTATATCACTTCCAGTACTGCTGCTATTTTTAGATCATTTCCTGGAAGGCCTGCTTGGACCACTTGTACACAGTGCAGAAAGCAAACTTCAACTAAATTCAAACGCATTAAACAGTTTGGAAATTGCTGTGGGCTGTCAGCTGTGAAGATGAATACCTTGCACCAATGTCCCTAGTCTCTAGCACTTGTGGCTCAGGTGGTAGAGCGCATTGTCTACAGACTTGGAAGGCCAGTTGGTTTATCCTTGACTCCTACAGTTTGCATGCTGAATTATCTTCGGGGAAGACACCGAACCCCGAGTTGACCCTGATACATCTGTCGCAGTGTGAATGTGAGAAAGGGCTTAGGTATAGATAAAAGCAGTGTATGAATGTATGTGTGAATGACACTTGTAATAGAAAGTGCTTTAAGTACTTTTTTAAGCAGAAAGGTGCAATATAAGTACCATTAAAACAATAACAATATGAGAACAATAATAGAAACTGACCTATGTGGTTAGGAAAAGATCATCAGAATTTTTTTATTTTTCTGGAGCTACTAAAGACTTTTTTGTATTTTATTTTATATTGTTTTTAATTTCTTTTAGTATTATTAATATTATTTTTTTTTATTTTTTTTTTATTTGTTTTTTGAATGTCTTGTGTTCTTAGTGCTTTCTTACTACCATATGTTTAAGGTGTTTAAAGTGTTGGATGTTTATGAATATCAAATTCAATAAATATATGTTTACAATAAGAACAACAATAATAACAACAGTACAGTAATTTATTGTGTGTTGACAGGTTAGGATGTGCTAGCAAGTGAAAAAAACTGAAAACAGCTTTTGTTTCTGACCCAGTCACCTTGCATTATATTCACCTCGTGGGGAATACAGGTAAGTTTAATCTAACAATTTATAGGAAATATGTACAAACGTGGGCTTTGAAGTGGATAAGATTACAGTTCCGCTAAATTGTTATTATCAAACAAAGAAAAAAAAAAAAAGAGCCCTCTGCCTCTTCAGGAGGCCGGAATGAGCAGCCAGCTCAGAAACCTCCCAATCACAAAGCGTTTTCGGAGGTATATGTATAAACCAACGCCTTTTAGTGAATTAATTTGTTCAAACGCGTAAACTTACAAGTGCATTGTGAATTCGTCCCACGGGGTCAAACTGGCATTACATTTCTGGGGCATTTTTGAGAAAAAATTTGGCACAAACACCCTGAACTGTAGCGGTTGCCAACATGCCACTGCACGCCCACACAGCCAGCACTGTAAAAGCAGGAGTTTTACTTCCTTTGCCCTATTCAAAAGACTTTGTTTTCCTTTATAAAATGAAAATTAAATTACATTCAAGTTGAAGAGATGCCTTTTTGACACAGTGCAGGTGATCCAGTGTGAATTACAGATGCATACTGGCAATTTCCATGAAATGATCTAGAAACAAGTGCACATTGTGCACAGGAGACGAGCTTGAAGAAGACATCGGCTGAAAGGGGTGGATACGTGGAATTCAGTTCAATTCTTTAATTTATGCTAAGAAAAAAGCCAGCATCTTTATTGGAAGTTTGGGAAAACTAGAATTTACAATTTTCCCAGTGTCACTAATGGAGTGCAATTTAAGTGTAATTAAGGCAGTATATACAAGGAAACATTTTTCCTCACAAAAATGTAGAAAATAATATTCTACCTGCAGAAGAACTCCCATAAATCCAGGTTCTGGATCCTCTGGATGGATTTAATTGGATGATCCATTGTTCTTTCATACAGTCTGGCTACTTCTTTAAATTCATATGTGTCTCTGCCAAGCTGGATGAGCTGCAAAGGCAAGAAACACTCACACAGCTCTACCCTTTTCTGCAGTGTGTTTCATATTCCTCTTTTTCTCTCTCATTTGCAAATGTTTGATCTCAGACTGAACAAAGTTGGGAACTTCTGGACTGACAAAACACCGAATACAATCACATGCATACCTGTCTAAAGGTTTTGACCAGTCTGCACTGTTTCTGTAAGAACTCCAAGTACCATGTCTTTGATTTTTGAAAATAAAGCATAAAGAAGTGTAAGAGTCTCAGTGCTTCTGTAGCAAAAGCATAACCTTTTATTCCATGTTTGCCACTACTTTTTACATCAGAAATCAAAAGAACATAAAGGTATCGTCTCAATACTAAAAATGTGTGAACCAAGCTAAGTGGAACAATAAGATGTGTTTCCGTACTTCTGTACTCACCTGATAGGGCTCATCTGTGTTTATTCTCTCCCAGTGACAGGGAACAGGCAAGGCGAGATTATCACAAATAAACCTGAGAGGATCAGCAAAGGAGAAGAGTCCGTAAACAAATCACTGCATCAGAATGAGAATGGATGTGTTTGCTTCATGCTCACACAAAAATAATTCAACGATTGCAAAAAAAAAAAAGAAAAAAGAAAAAAAGGAGAGAAAAAGGCAATTGTTCTCTTTTGTTTTGTTACTTTCATTTCCAGGATTTTAAGGACAAGAGATGCTTGACCCCTAAACTTCCATTTAATACATGGTCTTCTTAAACCCCTTTAATATAACTTTTCCATGATAGCAAGTAAATAAAACCAAAATATAAAACGACTCTCTGGATGTACACTCAAACCATCAAATCTTACCTAAATCCAGTTGCAGAGTGGAGGGAGCGTTTGATTGGCCGTTGCTTTCCTGTTGTTACATTTATCTGTCGCATAACTGTTTGGGGATTTAATGACAATTAGGTGTTCATGTGCAATTTCTTTAACAAAATAAACAACAGAAAAACTAACTCATCCTCAATAGAACTGATGTGACGTGATTTCCTTTAAAAAAGCTTTAACACTCTCATCCTGGATGAAGTACCTTTAGAATTACTTTAATTAACTCATGAGTTTGCACCTGAGAAGTCCAGTCTGTATGTGTACTTGGCTGTGTAAAACTCCATCACACCACGCTGGTTCCTGCTGTAGCACTGCTCAATCTGAGCGCTGGTCACAGAGCAGGCTGCACTGGGATCAATCTGACAGGGAAATAAAAGGGGAAAAGAATTGTTAACCAGCCAATCAGTTAATTAACAGTTAGTTAAGAGAGTTGATTCTTTATTTAGGTCAAAGGCTTAAAATTTATCTGAAAAAAACATAAATTCTTTGGTTTGACTTAAAGCTTGTCTTGTAAATCAATACATATATATTTGGAGGTTTGAGGTACTGGTGGGATAAATAAGACAGCTGAGTGTAACTCGCTGTCAGAAACTGATAAACCAGAAAAACACATTTTAAATGTGTTCATGGATATTTGATGCATCATTGTTAAATTCCTTTTAATTGCAGTTTAACACATAACACATAAGTAGTGTTTGGAAATGAGAATGGCAGTTTGCTGGCACATGATGGCCATTTTTTTGCCTCCCTACAATCAACCCAAGGCAATGTTTTTTCTTTGTTTTTTCTTTTTCTTTTTCCTATAAATGTATTGATGATGAGCTAAAAGGGGGAATAAAAACCTGCAGAGTCTGGCAAAATACGACCAAAGGAGGGGCGATATGCTGGGCATAAAGAGTAAAGCCAGTTACAAAGTCTGCTATTGTGTATAAAGTTGTGGTATCATGTGAACTACCTCAAACATATGCCACACTCCACACTCAGCCAAGTAGAACCAGCACCAGTTGGGCTCTGAGGTGTCCATCTCCTCAATCTCAGTGGACTCCTCCTCTGACGATCTGATGGCTAACATAGCTAAATCTGAAATTAATAAGTGAAAACACGCCAACACACTTAGGCAAATAGCAACTAAAATACAAGAAAGTATGGGGGAGGGCCTAAGGTGGTGTTTTGGTCGTCAGACAGTCCTGACGTTGAGGACTTGTTTTTAGCAACGGTCGTGAGAGCATTACATCCTGTAACAATTTCATACAATACAGGAAACTGCCATGTTGAACTAAGCTATCATTAGCGGATGCCGCACCCGACTCATCTCGACTCTACTGGTGTCTTACCAGTTTTCAGCCTGCCTCTGTCCTTATCGGAAAACAAAGCCTTCATACATGATCAACAAAGCCTCAGAAAAATCACAGGTTCCGTCTAAGCTTGGGGGACTAACGCCAAAAACCATTTTCGTTATCCTAGGCGTTGTTTACTTTTATTTCCCCGTTCGTCATGCACTCCACGTCAAAGCGTCGACGTCATGTAACTCCTCCCTCCTTTAAATCAGGACTGTTTCCCGGAGTTTGTCCTGACAGGCGCACTACCGGTGCAATGTGATACGGCTCAGGCGTTTTAAAGTTACGCACGCGGTTAAAAAAGTTAATAAAATAAAATAAAATAAGAGGAATGTATGGAAACTTACTTACTGAAGTCATTACCCCCCTCCCCTAAAAAATAATAATCGCTGTAATAATCTAAAAATCGGAGGTAATAATTAGCTCAACCTGTCATTTTTGACTTATTTGTTTTTCAGTGCAGTCAATAAAACAAATACATCTACAATACATAAGCTAAATAATGACGGTGTTGTGCCAAAAAGTGATTGCCTGCCAAAAACTGATTTCCGATGTTTCCTTGTACTTTTTATGTGTAATATCTTTACGTATGTTGGTAAATAGACTTCGGTGAACAGCGTTTACAAAGGGGTTATATAT